TCTCAAAGAGAACTGGCCTGTCCCACGCCGAGCTGATGTGCACTGGTGGGCACAGACCAACAGGGATCTCGCTTCCCAGGTAACAGCATAGGGGAGCCCTGTGACGGGCCATGTGCCTTTAGGCCTCACAGGGGCTTCCCTACCCCTAACCCAGCCCATCCCTGGGCCGTTCTCGCCCCCAGAGCCGCTGCCGAGCCTGAGCTATCACAGGGACCTGGAAGCAAAGGTGCAAGTGACAGCAGAGCTCAGCCTGTGAGTCCGGCCCCTAGGACTAGCCCAGCCCTTCGCCCATCGCTCAGCGGCTTCCTCCCTCCCTCCCTCCTGGTGTCGCCTCCCCGGCACCCCGGGGCTCACGTGAACCGAGCTCCCTAACGAGAACGGGCCAGTGTAACCACAGAACATGGGTTGCCTTGGAACATGACTGCTGTGCCACCTGTGGTTCACGCCATGCAGGGCTGCTCCACGCACCCTTCACGCAGCCAGAGAATTAGGCGGAAGGACTCTTGAAAGCTAAGAAGAGGCAGCCGCCGTGGGAGGATGGATCAGTACCAACCAAGCAACCTCAGCATAGTCACCCCCACAGCAGGGAAGGGGCTCAGTTGGGGGCGCGCTCTCCTCTGAGTCAGGACTGGCCCCAATTCCCCAGCATGGCACTGTGGGGCCATGGAGAACCAAGAGCCCTCGCCGGGGTCCCTACAGAGCACTGCTGAGACACATGGGCCCGAGGCACTCTGCGGGTGACACTGTCCGTCCCCGTCCCGTGGGAGCCACGGCCTCACATCCTGGCTTGCATGCTATTCACCCAAAGCATCTCTGGGCTTTGCTGGGAGATTTGCCTGAGAGAGGGTACCAGGCTGAGGCCCTGGGTGCAGAGACCCTGTCACTTCCAGGGCTCTGCCTGTCACCACGTGCCCTGGGCAAAGCAACGAACTCCAGGCTCCTGGGGCACCAAGTGCCGTGGCCAGCTGCAAGGAGGCAACAGGCTCAGAATGAAGGGAGCCATGGCCACTACAGGAATTTCCCCTTCACTCTCGGTGTGGAGAATGCGTTTGTCCAGTGTGTGCATGGGGGGAGGGTCTATCTGTGTGGGTGGGTGGGGGAGATATATGGCTCGGGGGGGAGCAGCATGCGTGCGTGTAATGTCTGTGTGTGAAACATTTGTGTCAGTGTGTGTGTGTGTACAGCATTGTGACAGGGTGCTGTTAGCACCAGAAACGGAGCCCTTTGCAAGCACCCTCCTGGTTCCTTAGCCCAGCCAGGGCACTGGTGCAGGAGGGCCGTCAGCAGTTTGGGTTTGGAAGGGTAGCCAGGATCACTTGCGCTGCAGGGAGCCCGCTGAGCTAATGAGGTCGTTAGCTCACCAGCTGGACAGTGCTGGGGAGCAAGGCTGAGCCAGGAGCAGGAAGGGGGCTCCGCACACCTGCTGCCATGTTGCAATGCATCTGGAGTTTACCCAGCAATAAAGACCCCTGGGACACGTACTGGCTGGGCTGCGCACGCTGCTGGATTCACCGAGGGCCTCTCAGACATGGTTTCCAGGAGCTGACGGGGGAGCCCGTTCACAGAGCCAGGGAGGCTCGAGAGGTGGCCCGTGAGAGGACAGGCTGAGCCTGGAGGAGCCGATGCAGTGGCTGGGAGAGCAGCAGAAGGTGATGCAGTGGACGCTGGAGGCGTTCCAGACACCAGAGCCAAGCCCTGCTTGGGTGGCAGGCGGCGCAACCGCCAACGTTTCAGGAGTTTGTGACGGAACAGGCCCAGGGAGAGCAGCCGTTAATACAGAACGTGACCAGCCCTGCCCTGGGGAAGGGAAGTTGGGGGGGCTGGGACTCTGTAAAGGGAGCCTGGGGATGATCCCAATGCATTGGGACGGACATGGCACCTAGCGGGGGCTGGGATCAAGGCTTAGGGGCGCTCCGGTTAGCCCCTAGCTGGCGGGAGACGTTCAAGCCGCTTACGCAGCGTTGAGCCAAGAGCAGGCTGAGAACTACGGTGTGGTAAAGGCTGCTGCGCTGGATTGGCTAGGCTTGTCAGCCGAAAGACACCCAGAGACATTTAGGGCAGCCAGGTGGACTTATGGGGTAAGAGCCGGTGCATTTGTGCAGCAGTTACTGATTGGCCCACCGGACGGCTGAGGCCAAGGGGGCAGGGATGTGGATGCGGTCATGGATGCCGTGGTATTGAGCAAATTATGCAGCGCCTCCCAGATACCACTAAGGTCTGGGTGAGGAGACACCAGCCAGAGGCGATGGAGGCAGCGGAAAAGTTGGCCGCGGAGTGTGTCCAGGCAGATTTCCCAAGGAAAGCAGCTTGTCGGGATAGGGGGGAAAAGGTGAGACTCCCTCAGTAGTCAGACCTGCGGGTGCAAGCAGGGAGAAAATAAAGTCACTTTCATCAGCCAGGATACAGCCAGCTGCCCGTGTGGGGGAAGAGGCCCCATTCCGTGGGGTGCCGGCCTGTGGAACGTGTGATGGGAAGCTCTCCGAAGGAGTAAAAGCAATCCCTGTAAAGGGGGGGGGGGCGTTGAAGACCGGAGGTGGGGGTTAGTCATTCAGTAGCCAGGGGGTGCTTGTTTGTGCAGAGCAGGCTGGTGTGGTTTTGGGAGGGGACGCTCTAGGCGTAACGTGCAAACACGGGGAGAAAAGATACGTCTCCAGTGGCAGTAGCGCATTGGCGGAACAGGGGGGTTTCTGATGGAAAAGCATCGGGTAGTGGGAACTTTGCCCCACCCTGTGGTCTTAGGAGCTGACTGGACTCCACTCCCTTCAAGTGGGCGAGGGAGGTCCAGCAAACGGAACCTCATTGGAGGGTAGAAAAGAGGAGAGCTGGGGTCAAGTGTGGTGCCCAGAGCCCAGCCAGGGGAGATGAGTAACCCCTGGACAAGAAATGACAAAACAAGGAAGTGGGGCCCATGTAGGACATGTGGGGCAAAAGAGACGCTGGAGAAGGGGGTGAAGAAGCAAGGGGTTCCTGTACAAGGACATCCCAGAGTCAGTGGCAAACCCCCCATGCCCAGTGAGTGGGCCCAGAGGAGACAGAGCTGCCCAAGGGCTTAACACCTAAGGGGGCACAGAATCCACCAGACTGCGAGGACCAGGCCGGGGAGGACAGCCGAGCATGCCCTACCCAGGGATGGGATAGACACCGGGCTAAAGTCTGTGGGGTGTCCCTGGGGTGGTGGCCTGTGGGCGGAAATGGAGCTGCCCCCACCGAAGGAACACTGCTTCTGGGGATGGACAGTGGGAAACCCTCCCAGATGGAAAGTCAAATGAAGGGAACTCCAGGGGCGGAGGAGGATTGCTGCCCCCATAAGCCAGGCCAGGGAGAAAACTGAGCCCCAGTGGAAAAGGGGGGCCCTATGCGAGTTGGGAAGCCTGACGGGGGATATGCTGAGGAGCAAGCGATATGAATGGCTGAGCCAGGAGCAGGAAAGGGGCCATGTTGTGATGCACCGGGAGGGTAAACAGCAGTAACGACACGTGGGGCAGGTACCGGCTGCTGGATTCACTGAGGGCCTCCCGGCCAGGGTTTCCAGGAGCTGACAGGGGCCCCCATTCCCAGGGGGTGAACATGTGGGGAAAGGAGCCTGTGGGCATGTGGACAAGCATGTGTGCACACGCCGTGGGGGGAGTGTGTCTGTAGAACGTGTGTGTCCCTGGATTCCCTGTCCTCTGGACAGCCCGGCAGACAGGGCAGCAGTTTTCCCGAGTCAGCCCACAACAATTATGTATCTTTCCACGGCCTCCTGCCCACCCACTCACCCACCCACGCCCTTGTGCAATCACACACCATCCTCCCAGCCAGGCGCTGTCTTCCACTCCCTCCTTGGACCAGCCTGTGCCCTGGGAGGGGGCAGTCCCGCAGCCCTTGCCAGCCCCACTGCCTGGGAGGAAAATGCCCTTAGTCTGCAGTAAGTGTAGGGCAAAGCCCCATTGGGGAGGAGCTCTGAGCCCCCTCAGCCCTGCGTCCTGCTGGATGCAGGCAGCTGTTTACTCTTGTAAAGAGGGGATTCCCTAGGGGAGCTCTCCAAAGAGCATCTCTTCGTGGGGGAGTTTCCGTCCCTCCCCGTCCTGGACACTCGCGGCTGCCTGTCTTAGAGACGGCCGGGAAGGCTCCGACGTGAGACCCAGCCCTTCACACAGATTTCCACCCCAGCATTTGCTGGCTGACTTGGAATGAGTCCGCACTGTCGCCATAACAACCCGCAAATCACACAGACACAGCACAGCATGCATTCCACTCCTGAAATCCACTTCATGGCGCCCGCCCGGGCCCCACCGCTTGCTCGGCAAGGGGGGTGGCTTTCATCTTGTCCCAGGAACGGTACCTCTCCTTTCTCACTAAGTCGGTGGCAAATTGGCGTTTGTTCCGTGCAGATCTTTGGTCCCCCTTTTGTGCCTTTCGAGTGCCTGGCTCCAGGGGCCTCGTCTCCAGGGAAGGGATGAAGCTGTGTCCTCGGCTGACCTGGCAGGAGTCTTGAACGGGAGCATCTTCCCTCTAACCACGAGCCCTCTAACCGCCTGGCTAACAGTGAGAGAAACAGCCTCAGAGAGAGGCAGCGTCAGTCTGAAGCCAGGCGGAGAAAGGCTCCTGGAGACTTGGGACAGCGGAGCTGGAGAGCTCGAGCTGCCCCTGGCCCAGGGGTGAGAGGCCACGCCGGCGGCAGAGCAAAAGGAGACAGCTGCTCCCACGAAGGGCAGGGAAGGGAACACGGTGCTCCTTGGCCTCCCAGGGCATCGAGGACCTGGGCCCACAAACCCCTGCCACCCCCTGTCTGAGTAGGGATTGCTTCTTGTTGGGTTTGGGGGTGGGGGCGGTTTCCCTACCAAGAACATATCTGTTTGCGCTCTGCGGAGACCTCCCCGTCGCTGGGGGGCGGGGGGGCCGGGGGGCGGGGTACAGAAGGGTTGCGCTGGTTCATTGCATGCCCCGGTGTGCATCGACATGGAGAGCCGCTGCCCCCTTCCCCACGGTGACCCCAATAAAGCCACAGGCCCTGCTGGTTCTTTTACAAACCTTTATTTCCATTTCTCCCCCCTCACCCCAGCCCGCTCCGCGCTCCTGTCACAGCTTTTTTTAGATAAAAACAACAAACCAGCTCTCTCCAACAATTCCGGACACACATGGATCCCCGGACAACTCTCCAGTCCCCCCGCCCCATTTCAACCCAGCTTCCCTCGGAGCGGCAGCTGCGAGGGGCTTTCCGCTCCCGGATCGTTACTGGCTGACTCGAAAGGCAGAGAGGCCCAGCTGGCTCGAACGCACCTGCCAGGACAACACCACAAACATCACCTCACTGAGCTGATCTGCCGAAAAGCTATCATGAAAAAGAGTGGGATGGATCCCAGCACGTACACAAAATATCCCCGCCCCCCTCCCCAAACTGCCCTCCCCCCTCTCCAAAAAACAGATATGTTGCACACATTAAAGTGATACCGAACGATACAGAACTCAGAAGGGGGGGAGGATGAAAGAGTCTCTTTGCAATAACAACCTACAGGATCCAGTGAAACCGAGGCAGCGTCAAAGTAAAGGGTCAATAGCGATACAGCTTTCAAACCCGAGGGCAGGGAGTCCAAGGTAATAAGTTAATCTACACAGACAGCGTCAGGCGAATGGACAGATGAGCGGATTTCCCTCTGCTGCAGAAGGGTGTTCTCAGCGCGAGTGCCCATGCAGAGTGCCCGGGGACAGCGGCCTATGCCAGCACAACACAACCGTAAGGAAATGAGACGTGAAGTCAAGGGATAGGGAACGTCCGTGAGACAGGCTCCCCGCCCCACGCCTGGCCACAGGAGCACAATCACCATCTAGAGCAGTTACAGCAAAAGGGATGAATTGGGAGGCCTTGTCCAGGCACCCTGGGGTGTGCCTCAGGAATTGCCCTGACGCTCTACGGGAGCTGGTGCTCGGGGGCCGAGGGTGGGGCAAGGTGCCAAGCTGGGAAATGGCTTGAGTTGGCTCCAATGCCGTGGCATAAGGGCCTGCCACCCGGCCCTTCCACAGCAGCGGCATCCCCACTGGGAACAGGCTGCAGGGGGTTCCAAACAGCTCCCCACGGGGTCCCTCCCTCTCCACCGTTAGTAGAGCAGCCCCAGAGGGAACTTCCTCGGCATCTGGCTCAGAGCAAGGCTCCTGGCCGGGTCGCGGTTGCTGCAGCCAGCAGTTCTCCTTGCACCGAGCATGGTCTGGCAAGGACCAGACAGAAACCCTGTCCGTGGTAGGAGAAGAGTCCTGGTAGCTCCCTGACACCTGCCCTGGGCCCTACAGAGTGCCTGGGCTCGGGGACAGGGAAACACTGACACTCCCTGCCTCTTAGGTGTCAGCCTGGGGCCTTGGCTACCTGCCGGATTTACCCGAATTGACCGAGCAGAGCTGCCGCAGCGCAAACCCTTCACGAGGGGGCAGCGCGTGTAGAACTGATGAATGACATTGTTTTTCATTGTTCACTTTATTAATGTCACTTCATACATAAAGTTTTATGAATGAAACAACATTCATTCATAAAACCGGTTACCCCAATAACTGGCTAATTGACAATTAAGATGCTTGTTAAGAGCCATAACTGTTCAGCCAGTTGCCCTTGTAAATTTCACTGTCAATCCAATTCCTGCTTAAATCACTGAGACTTGCACTGTTTTAGTATTGGAACTTCTGTTCACTGTTTGCCATTCACTACACTTGTCTACTTCTGTTCGCTGTTTGCCATATTGTAATTCAAACCCCATTTTACAACGCTGACTCCATTTTGTAAGGGTTGCTGCAACCTTCATTTTTGCAAACCCTGCTGTAATCTTATTAGTTTAGTTTAGATGTGTGAATGAGGGATGTATGGATGGTGGAATCAACCTCCAGCCCCAGCCTGTCCTGATTAAATAGAGTTCAAACACCAACGGCTGAAGATGCAGACAACAGCCCTAACAAAGTAAGCAGAGTCCACCCTAAAAAGAAAAGAACAAAGGTACAACAGAAGAAACATCAAAGCCAGGTCCGAGGCTGAAAGTCACGTCTGCAATTGACGGGTGATCAATCACACCGAACCCAAAGGCAGTGTGACACAGCAAGACCTGTAGACTCTGGATTCAAACTAAAGCCTACAAAAAGGCTGGGTGAGATGGAAAATTTTGGAGGGTAACATTCTGCTGCTAACATGGGAGGGCAGACCCAGCCCTTTCTTGTGCCTGGCTTTCCTGGCCAGTTACCGCCACCAGCTACGAACCCAAGCTGCGAAATCAAGCCACGGACTCACGCTATGTTCAGGACTGGTAATGTGTGTGTGTGTGTGTGTGTGTGTGTATATATACACACACACACACATATATATATATAAAGGTATTAGCTAGTGGTTGTAGATCAAATTGTTATCATAATAAATGTGGCATCTTTGCCTTGCCCCCTGAAACGATCCTCTGTAGTGTTGTCTGCCCAACACGCATCACATCCAGGGTCTGCCCGAGCGTAAGCGCCTCGCTGCACTTACTGAGACTGAATCTATTCACTGCCTGCCCGGGGCCAGAATCTCCTCTCAGGCCCCCCCGCCCGGCGCATCCTACGCGCGGCATCCAGGGAAAGTGAACCGAGAGCTGGAGCCGCCCCACTGACACATCCTCTCCCCATGGAGCCCCATCCGCTTCTTGCAAAACCAGCAGCCCTGAGGCTTGCCAGGTGAGGGCTCTGCCGTGAACCCCAAGGGGTCCCCCACCACACGCAGCTCCTGTTCCAGACAGGCGCTGCCACGCCAACTCCCACGCTCCCTCCCCGCCCCCACGGCAGGGCGCACTCTCTCCCTGCCCCCCTGTGCTCCCACCAGTCATCTGACTCCAGCCAACCAAGGTCACAGACCATGTTGTTCTCACTAAAGCTCCCACCTGGAGCACCGGCGACACAAGGCAAGAAACCCCCTCAGTACCGCTCCCGGCTGGGGCTGAGATTGTGAACAGGGGGAGGAAAACAATTCCCCCTCCCAAGCACAAGGACAATAGATGGAGGTGGGGCCGGAAGCTGATGGCTCCCTCATGGTCCAGGATGGTTATCTTCAGACACAGTGCGGTGCGGGGGTTTAAAACAGCAGAAAGCGGGAAGGCAGATCAAAACAAAGGGGGGGGTTTGCATTAAAATGTTCACAGGAAATAAGGCATGGAGATGACAGGCTGGGGGGGGTGGAGGAGGGGCTCTAGATCACGGTTTTGTCCAGATCCACCTTGACCGGCAGCGGCCCCGCCTCCTCGTTGTCGTCCGCTGGGCAGATGGTGACAGCGATCACAGGGTGCAGAGAAAAGGGAGCCGAGCCATCCAGGTCCTCCAGGTACTCCTTATCGCCGTTAATGCTCAGCGGCTGGAAGAGAGTCAGAGCCAGACACCAGGTGATAGGGCGTGGCCAGAGGTGGAGGGGGCTGTGGTAGCAGAGAGGGGGGACATATCGCGGCAGGGGGCTGGTTTGCACCCATCGGGGACCCAGCCGAGAGTATGTTATCACCACGGCTCCCAGAGTTTCTGGGATTCATTTCCCAACTGCAGCCACGATTTAACCCCTCAAAATAAACCAGCCTCGGGCGCTGCTTGGCTAACGTCAGGCTGTGAAGTCCCAGGGCCCCAGTGTACTGGGGGCATGTGCGAGGATGGGGTATTTTTTTGTGCTTTCCAGGCTCTCCTCCCCACTCAGTGTCACCACCATGCTGCTCTCCACCAGCAGACAGTGCTATGCAGGCCAAGGGTACGAACTGCCCCCAGCCCACCCGGACGTCCCCCAGTGGGCTGTTGCTGGGCTCAGCGCATGGTCCCGGCTCTGTGGCATCTGCACCTGCATTTGCCCTAGGACGCCGGCTGGCTCCGTACCTGGGTCTTGACGTGCTGGTCCGGGGCGGTCACTAGGCTGGCACAGCTCAGCCACAACATCACCATGATGGAGAGGAAGAGGCAGGCAGCCAGGATCCAGCGAGGAAGGCCTGAGCGCCTGTAGCACCCCACCACCCCCCGCCAAAGAGAGAGGACAAGTTTATGGCTGGGCATCAGGGTGGAGGGGGCACAAACAGGACTCAGAGTGGCCGACGAGGGAAGGATTTCCCCTGGCTACCACCAACCTGCCTCCTCCATGGAGCATTCCTTTCGCAGTGTCACCCCTGGCCAAATAACCCCACCCCGCACCCAGATGGCCCCGCCCCTGGACTAAATAACCCCACCCCTCACCCAGATGGCCCCGCCCCTGGACCAAATAACCCCACCCCTCACCCAGATGGCCCCACCCCTGGACCAAATAACCCCACCCCTCACCCAGATGGCCCCGCCCCTGAACCAAATAACCCCACCCCTCACCCAGATGGCCCCACCCCTGGACCAAATAACCCCACCCCTCACCCAGATGTGCCCCACTCTTGGACCAAATAACCCCACTCCTCACCCAGATGCGCCCCACTCTTGGACCAAATAACCCCACCCCTCACCCAGATGCGCCCCACTCTTGGACCAAATAACCCCACCCCTTGCTAGTAACATTTTGCAAGAGTGGTTTATTCTGCAATGGAAATCCCTATCCCCACCTCACTATCCCCCCATCCCCTTTCTAGCCCCCTGTCTCCTTTCCTCCCCCCACATATCCCTCCCCCAATTTGCCAAGGCTTTTCATTCTGCCTCTCCCTCTGCCCCCCGCACCCCTGTGGGGCCAGGCCTGCACCTACTTGGACATGCAGCCCAGGAAGTCGTGCTCTGGTTGTTGGGTCTCCAGGTGCTGGAGCTTGGCTTTGCTCTTTGGCTCTTTCATGGGGGGTTTCTCCAGCTTTTCCTGGGGGCCTGGCAGGACGACACCCAGACCCAAGTGACTCCCCGGCCACAGCAGGCTGGGCACAACCACCCGGGCCCCCAATGAAGCTGGGGCAGCTGCTCGCGTGCCAAGGCCAGGAAGGGGAGGGTAGAAAACGGGGGCAAAAAGGACTGCAAGGTCTTGACCTGGCTTACTTGATAGCAGCCTAGAATGAGACCATCCCCCAAAGCCTTAAAATAATGATCGCTCCAGGCATTAAACTAGGCTCCAGGAGGCTGGGCACAGCCCCCCAGCCCCCCACTGGAACATCACGACGGGGCTGTGACTGGTCAGGAGCCCGTGTGCAGTGAGTTTGGTGGGTTCTCAGTTTGGTTCCCAGTACCTAGGTGTCCACGGCTCAAACCCACCCCCACAGGCCTCGTGCTGGCAGCCTCGGCAGAGGCTGGAGACGGACGGGGACAGGGCACCTGAGCTGCCTGATGCCCCGCCCCAGGTCAGGACTGTGTGTGGAAGCTCCCAGAGTAGGGGGGATGGTCCCAGCTCAGTGGAGGGGGGATGGGCGGGATGGGCGATCTGCCCCTGGGGTAGAAGAGTGTGTGCATGTACCAGGGGGGCTAATCAGAGGCCACAGGCTCTAGAGAAACCGGCTCAGAGCTGGAAGCACTTTCCAGCAGCTCCCAGCCCCCTCGCCCCACCTGGTCCAAGCACTGCCCCTTGCTCACCTGTGTGGGGCTTCAGGGTGTTAGGACTGGAGACAGGCCAGGACTTCTCCATCAGCTCCGACTTGGGCGCTGGCACCTCGGGCACCGGGTACTCGATCTCCGGCTGGGACTGAGTGGTTAGGGTTCAACAAGAAACAAAAAGGACCAAAACGCAGTTAGTGACTGAGCCCCAAAACCTCCTGTGGGGGCAGGACTGGCCCATGGGGGGAAGCACGCGGGATAGTGAGGGCCAGATCCCTCCTGCTGCATTAACCCCCAGAGACAGCCTCTCGCTGCGTCTGGGCAGCACCTCGCACAGTGGGGCCCAATCTCAGGGCCCGTCCTCGGCCACACCAGAGACAAACAATAGCAGTTATTATTGTAGGGACGCAGGACTTGCCACAAAGGCTCAGACACTGGTTTGTCAGTCAGCCTGTCTGTCTGTCCGTTGTACGTCTCGGGCGCCTGTCACCTCGGCAGTGTCTGAGTGCTGGATGAGACAATCTAGTCTAGCACCAGACCATGACTCCATCTGGTAGCCCAGTATCCTACCTCCCTGCTGTACCTAATGTGGTGTCCTAGTCCTGGTTCTGGCCAATACCTGATGCTTTGTAGGAAGGCAAATATACCTGGTCACTGGTGAAATGCTTGGCACGGGTGGGATAAGAGGGAACCCCTTCCTGACCCCTGCAGCTTCTGCCCTGAAGCATGGGGATCCGTGCCCTGTTCCCACAGCCACGCAGGGCCACTGATGACCTCAGCAGCACGAGCCCGCCCTACCTGGAACACCACCACTTTGCCATCGTCTGCCTGCAGGTAGAAGGTCCAGGTGGAGGAGATGAAGCTCTGGGCAGAGCTGACGATGTCGTTGCAAAAGCTGGAGACCAAGTCAAACATGGAGAAGGACACGGGCTGCAGCTCCAGACTCTGGAAATCAGCAAAGAGAAGAGCACCAGCTCGCTGTGCTGGGAACCTCCGCGTCGTCCTGCCCCACCCCAGCCCCACCCCTAGCGCACAGGGGAGGCCCTTCAGGACTCAAGGCTCTGCTCCAGGGCTCTAAAGCAGGTCTATTGACCAGACCATGCTGAATGACCCACCGCAGCGCTCTTGGCCTTAATGAGCTATGAACCCTCCTGAGAGTGACAGGATGGTCTAGTGGTTAGAGCACTAGCCTAGCCCTTGGGAGACCTGGCCTCAATTCTCAGCTCTGCCACAGAGTCTCTCTGTGACCTGGGGCAAGTCCCTTAGCCTCTCTGTTCCTCAGTTTCCCCACCTGTGCAACGGGGATTACAGCCCTGCACCGCGAGGATTAATCCATTGACGACATGGAGACTCTCAGATACTGCAGGGAGGGGGACAGAAGACAGCTAACCTCCATATCGCCCAGGGCAGTGGCTGGCATGAAATGTGTTCATAGGACTCAGTCTAGGGCCCCCTGCACAAGCACTCGTGCCTTCTCGAAGCACCATTGGCCTCAGCACAAAGGCCGCGAGCTGAGCGGGCCATGGAGATCAGAGTCGACACACACTGGCAGGAGGCGCTGGGAATAAACGGGAGTTGCGTGGCTGCCAGCCCAGCTCCTTCCACTAGCACTAAACTCACATGAAAATGTTATAAAGAAGAGGAGCTGAGATGCCGAGGGCGTTTCTCTCCTGGCAGCTTAGCCATGCCCCGGATTCTTGGCTCTTTGCAAGGTTTGTTATGTTTTAAAGCATCCCTGCTGGAATCTACTTGGCTGCTCCTTGCCATGGACGTAGAACATTTTCCAAGGCTGGGCATGCCAGAGCCCCTCATACGGTCAGATGAGCAAACAGGAAAGAAATAGGTCAGTTTCTGTAGCTGATTATTGTGCTAAATCTGCTTTGCTTGCTTGCCCAGGAATCCAAAGGAAACATATTTTGGAATGAATGGAATCAGGGAATGTTTGGAACGCTATCGCCATGGAGCAATCTTGTTTGGGACCTGGCCTTTCACAGAGTTTCATCCACCCATTCTTTCAGGGGAAGCAGGGACAGATGCTTGTCCCCTTTACAGGGACAGCTGCCACTCCGATATAGCCAAGCAACTGAGGCTTCTTTCTCACAAAGAAAAACACTGACCTCTGCCACTGATTCTGTGTTCGACCTTGGGCATGTCACTGGACCATTTCATGCCTAAGTTTCCCCATATTTAATGCTTGTTACCAGCCTCCCAGGGGTTCATTCATTAATTAGTAGAAAGCACTTTGAGCTCTTGGGCTGAGAAGCTATAGACGCAGCACCGTATCCCCATGCCTGGTCCTTGCTCCTTACTGCAGAAAGCCATCCTGCAAAGGTGAAAGCCTCTACCCGAGGCCAAAGGCTAACCCAGTTATTTGGGCAAAAGCTGAATCAATTAAATGTAGGAGGAAAAGAGGCGGAGAAAGGGATAGCCAATCAAAATCCAGGGAGCCTGGAATAATCACAGGTAAGAACCTTCCATCTTGGGAATTCAACACCACCCTCTAGCTTAGCCCAAATCAACGGCAGGCCTAGCACAATGCAATGAACCTGCCGTTTATGATTTGATTTAAATAGCACAACAGCCCTGCACTGGGTGGTTCTGCTTCCAACAGCCCAGACCAATCCACTCCCTGGGCAATGTTATTAGAAGGTTCCCTATAAGCACTGGCGCCATTCACCTGTCTCCTGCATCCCGGGTACCTGGTGACCATCAAATGCCCCGAAGGTGCGCTATACAGGCGGGATTCTCAGAGGGGGAACGACAAGGACATGAAATAAGCAAAGACCCCTTTTTGCTGTCAAATATTTGTAAGTGTTGTTTGCTAATGGGGAATTTTACTACTGCGTGAGGGGCTGCAAAGACCTGAGATCGCAGGGATTCAAAATGCCCGGCTGCAGAGCGCAGAGGCAGGATAGCGTCTTCCAAAGGGCTGCAGCCATTGGGGTAATGACGCTGCGATGTGGGGGTACGGCACACGGCTGCTGCCATGTGGTGGCAAGGGGGACGTGGGGCAATTGAATAAAGGGGGACAGCTGAGCAGAGGTCTGTGCTTCAGACAGGTGGCCTACGAGGAGTTATCACACCCGCCTCCATCTTCAGCCCGCTGATCTGCTGAGTGTGCGTTGGGGGGGGGAGAGACGTCGGGAAGGGGAAATGGCAACCGGGCTCTACAGTTTTCCTGTTTCTTTCATTTTACAAAGGAAGTCAGCCTCTAGCTGCTACGGCTGGAGCTTCCAAAGGTGAAGTGAGCGTACAGGGTGGAGTGACGCCTGCCTGAGTCTGCAGCGAGCCTGAAGCAATAGCTCCAAGATGGTCACTGCCCCGTCCATTTCAACCGGTGCTAGCTCAGATCCAACCTCCCTGCTCATCGCAGCATGTGAGGAAGGAGAGGACGGGTCGGACTGTGCAGATCTGCACCAGCATTCCCCACAATGCGGGCGGGGGATTACCGGCAGGGAGGTGACATGGTGGAAGATGAATCCATTCCAATGGAAAAGCCTTTAACCCCAGGGAGAGAGCGACTGCCCTTGTCCTCCTGACAGCAGGCAGAGACACGTTAGACGTGGCTCCACCTAGGCGTCAATGCTGTCCCTGCCCACTAGCTCTCACTGCCTCTGCTGTCCACACAGGGGCCAGGTCAGCTGGGATCAGAACACACAGCCCTGCCTCCTCCTGGGGTCTGAGACAGAACTTGTCTCCCAGTCCCTTTAAAATCTAAACAGCCCCAGGGTATCACCCCCTGGCGTGCGGCTGGGCTCTGTGCAGCAGCCGCACTGGACACCAGAACCACCAGCAAGCGTTAAACCCCAGGTCTGGCCAGGACCGACACTCCCTCCCTCCAGGCTGCCCTGCCTGCGCCCGCGCCGCTCTCTCGCCCACGTGTCCGCATGCCCTGGCCCCCAGACCTCCCAGGGGGAAGGCCCATCAACAGCCCCAGCCACTGGAGGGCGAGTACAGATCCTCCTGCGCCCAGGCCCTGAGCACGGCTCCCAGGGGAGCAGCCATGTGTCTGCTTGGAGCAGCATGGGGGCCCCGCGTCCCGGGGAGCAGGTACTGACCACACACCCGCAGGACCCTGCAATCCCAGACCAGGCCATCGGCCCTTCTAGCCCCACCTCCTCCCGCCAATCCCCAGTGCTGCCAAAGGAGACAAAAGCTCCCCACAATGCATCTGGGCAGAGATGCAAGGTGCTGTACATGGGGCCAAGGAGCAGATTTGCTCCCAGCCCCTGCTGCTCCAGGCAGTCTCCTCACGCTCTGCTACAGGAGGGGTCTGATCATTGCAGCTCTGCCGTGCGACGGTGAAACAGAGTGTGCAGGGGCCCAGTCTCAGGTGGCCTCTCCCAACGCCCCACAGGGCACACGGAGGCCGGGGTATCCCAGAGCTCAATCCACCCCAGTGCTCTCAATGCAACACCTTGTGCTGGGGCTGAACGAAATCCAACCCCTCCCCGCTGAGAACAATAAAAGCTGCGTCTGGGTAGCAACGCCCCCTCACCCCACGCCCCGGGGCCCTGCCGGGCACAGGGCTAACGCCTCACACTCTCCCACCGGGTGAAGAAGGATACGAGGGTCGCGGTGGGGGCTTGCCATCAGTCTGGGGCGGGGGGTCTGGCCCGAGATCAGCTGCGCGGTGGTGCCATCTCCAGACCATCGGTACTGAGGGGCTCTGTCATGGCTGGAGCAGGGACTGTATGTGCTCCACCGGGGGGAGGGAGGGTTACTACAGCCCCGCCAGAAAGGGAAAACTGCAGGGGGTGATGAAGGCAAATCACTCAGATTACAGGCTTCTGGTCCAGCCTGGATTCTCCAGGGACCAACAGACCGAGAGAGGAGATTTGGCCTGAACAGCCTGAGCTGGGACTGACTCAGGGCTTCATTCTGGTTCCTGATCTCAAGGCCGATATGAACTTGTAACCAGAGGAAAAGCCCAGTTGTGGGTTTGAGGGACCGATCGCTACCAGGGCCCCAGGCCGGAGTCGGGGGCACCTCTCGGTAGAATGCAGGTAGGGCCTTTTATTGGTTTTAGAGGCTTTCTCTGTAATGCTTTTACCCTCCAGGATAAATGCGCTTGCTGAGCAGGAGCTGGGGGGTAACTGGTAACGTGCTGGTCTCAGCCCTCGGAGAGAGAGCGATATCGCCGTGTAGAGCAGGGAGCTGGGCAGTGACAGGGGAGTGAGCCACGAGGCTCCACCCAGGAGAGATGACACCGAGAGCCGAATGACGCTCCCTGACACAGCCACGAGGGAGCACGTAGGGGGGGAAACAGCTGCCGTTCCCCCGAATCTCTCAGTCCTCCACTCTAATCACTAGCCACATACCCATCCTCTCCAAGAGGCAGGAATAGAACCGCGGAGTCCTGCCTCCCAGCCCCCACTGCTCCGCTCGCTGGACACTTCCAGAGCCAGGAGTCCTGTCTCCTAGTGTCTTGCTTGGCTCACTCGCTAACAATCCCCTCCAAGGACAGGCAGAGAACCCAGGTGTCTTGCCTCCCTGTTCTCTGCTCTAACTGCTGGATGGCACTGCCTGACCGTGGCTCTGAGGACACGGCAGCCCAGGCTGGCTTCCTCTGGAACATATGCACCGTGACTCACTCACATGGGGATGTTCCCAGTCCTTGCCTTCCCCGCCTTCTGCCCACAAGCACTTTGGAGAAGGAGCCAAATGCACGAGCCTCGGCCTCCTGGGACGGACAGACCACAGAGCTGTAATCCGATTAGAGCCGGTTTCCAGAAACTGTGCCCTTGTGCTGCTTCCCGCTCCCCGCTCTGGAAACGGCTAATCTGGTTCCCCCCACCAGGGCATTGGTGCCAACGTTGCACCGTGGACAGGTGCCAAGAGGGGACGGAGCCCTGCATCACCCACCCAAAAAGTGCAGAGCTCCCCTGGGGGACTGTGCCAGAACCACCACCAGAAAGGGGGGGAACAAGGTCAAATGCTCCCATCACGCACCCTCCGAGTGCAGCCGGATCCACCTGCTGCGTTTCTAGGGCGGCCCTGGCCATGGCCCTTTGAACACAGCTGGGTTGGGTCCCTTTTCCCATTGCACCTTTGTCCAGCACAAACGATGACGAGGGAAGAAGGGAAAAGGAAGAGAGGAGAACGTGCTGCCGGACAAGGGGGTTCCACGCATTCCTGCCGGGCCGAATCAATGCAAGGTCCATGTGCCCTTCCTCTGCTCCACTTACCTCCGGGATGCAGAGTCTAGACAGAGGGGGCAGGGCAAACTCTCCCTCTATCTATCCTTCAATCAGACAGCGAATTCCTCTGCATCTGCAGATCCCGCCAGCCCTGCACTGGTCTCCCCAGCTGCCCGGTGGATCGTCTTCCTCCAGGACACCCTGTCAGCTCCGTACGTCCACGGCACCCTGAGCCGACAGGTGCCAGCAGCAGAGCTCTCTGGGCTTTGGCCCCCGAGAGATAACCAGGGCATGAGGAAGAAGGTAACGGCCCTGTACCCAACCCGCCCTCCCCTGTTCCTCGGCGTGAACTGCTGCCTGCCCCATCCCACGGGGATCCCCCAGAGCCGGGCTGAGGACAGCAACTGCCCAGACAGATTTCCTCACGACACAGCCATTGAACGGGACCTTTGGTTACTGCCCCTGGAACGGACAGGGCTCTGTCTGCAGGAGGGGGGCCTCCATTCCAGGTGCCGTCGATCCAGGTTTTCCTCCCAGCTGTCCCAGGCGAGAGGCCGAGCTCACCCAATCTGCTGGCCAGATGGTCAGCTCAGCACAGCCGAGCTGGCTTCCGGCCCCCGCCTGGAATGGACCCTGGCTCTAACCCTGCTCCCAGGAGCCCTGGGCCATGGTGGGAGAATGAAACTCCGTCAGCTCCTTGGCTTCCCTGCTAGCGCCGTCGGCTGGTGCTCATCTCCCACTATGATCCAGAGGTGCTGCAACTAGGGGTGCTGGGGGAGCTGCTGCACCCCCGGGCTTGACGGGGTTCCCATCATACCCAGGGGTTACAGCTTGGTTCAATGGCTCCCAGCCCCCCACTGTACACACTGTTCCAGCCCCCCGCTGCGAGCTGGTCTGTTCAGGCCCATTACCCAGGCCGCAGAGCCCCTTGGCACTAGGGAAAGAGGAGGCTGAAACCTTGTCTTTCCGGCTCTGCGTCTCGGGCAACTGCTTCCTGCATCCAGTCGTGCAGCCGAACTGCTCCTCGGCGCTGCCATAGGCTTCGATACAAGCTGCAAGACAGGAGGGGAAGGGAACGGTCAGGGCCGGGGCACCCCGCAGCTGTCGGACACGTGGACAACAGGGGGCTGGCAGCACGGCCTAGAGCCAGGCAGAGCCCACCCTGCTCTGCCAGGGCACCCACAGCCCCCTGCTATGCCAGCCCTGGGCGCCCATGGGCAGCTGTCAGCGTTCCTCAGCCCTGACAGCTATTCCAGAGTTGGCCTTCTGCACGGAGAGAGCCAGGTCACAGCCAAACTCCTGTGACGGGGACAAACGCCCCCCCTGGACTGGGATGAGACCCCCCAGCTCTGAGTCAAACACCCAGCTCCAGGGTGTGTCCACCAGCCAAACCCTGTCCGACAGCCCAGCGGAGTCACCCGGAGAGCGCCCCTGGGCTGAGCTGGGCACACACAGGGCTGCCTGACGGGCTCCATGACCTATTTCATTTCTGCCCAAAGACTAATCAATCATGGCAATCAGCACAACGTTCCCAGACAGGTCTCAGCCTCCAATGGGAAACACCCGGATTTCCCATAAGCAGAGGGTTAGCCCACGCCGGAACGGCCCAGTCCCCGTTCCAAGCAGCTATCCTGAGATCCCAGCGGCATGGCATAGGGGGGTCGTCTCCCCTACAATACCATAGACACTGAGGCCTTGTCTACTCTGTGGGGACATTAAAGCCCCCAGAGCACTTTTCCCAAGAGTAGGGGAGTTGCCCAAATAGCCTCGGCTGAAAAGTCCACCCGCCCTGGTGCTGAATACCGGCTGCTCCGCTCCGCTCCGCCCCAGAGGTGGCTGCAGTTCAGTGAGGCTGCAAAGTGCTTTGGGATCCCTTGTGCTGAGAGGCACTGGGGGGTTAGCACATCGTCCCTGGGCCAGGGAGGAAGACCGGTTTGCTCACATGGCACCGGGAACTTGCTGGACAGCCTTCGGCCTGGCGGGGGGATTCGGTTGCTGCTGTGGGAAACTTCCATCTTTGCAGCTGCCTGCCGGCGAGGCTAGAGCTGCACCCCTGGCCGGGTGGTTGGCTTCAGCAGAGGATCCTCCCCTCCCTTCTCCTACCCCTTTGAGAGGTTGAACTCACGATCAGAACATTATTAATCCCCTTGGTATTTGCTGTGGCCACAGCCCTAATGGGTTCATGTGGGGCCTTGCATCCACGTGACCCTCCAACTTCCAGGATTTGCACCAGGGAGCGAGCGGAGCCGGCCCGGATTTGCACCAGGGAGCGAGCGGAGTTGGCACAGATTTGCACCAGGGAGCGAGCGGAGCCGGCCCAGATTTGCACCAGGGAGCAAGCGGAGTTGGCCCGGATTTGCACCAGGGAGTGAGCAGAGCTGGCCCGGATTTGCACCAGGGAGCGAGTGGAGCCGGCCTGGATTTGCACTGCTGGTGCATCATGGCCATGGAACTTTGTCTGGACAGCATGGGAGCGCGGAAGGCGCAGAAGCAACCTCTGTCCTGACAGGAATAAGTGGAGAAGCCACTTCTGGACAATGTAACTGAGGGGGCCGCGGGAGAAGAGGGGAGGGAAAGTTAATTGGCTGTGCTGTTCTTTACCTGATTCACATTCGGCTCTGGTTGTGTTCAGCTCGGCGCTCGCATCCACAAAGTGACAGATGGAGAACAGCCGGCATCCTCGGTAACAGGCGTTGAGCACGGCATCCTGGAGAGAGGAAGAGGAGAGCTAGGAGCCGGAACAACACACAGTGCAGTGGTTGCACCCCAGCGCCCTGCAAATACCCGAATGCCCCTGGGGACCCAGCTGTGCTCTGGGACTGGGGCAGCAGGGAAGGGGCGGGGCAGGAGGGCGCGATCCACTGCATGGGACCAGGACCCCCAGTGGTTGGATCACTGACACCAGCTCCAGATCCTTCCTCCCTGTCGATGGACCACAAGCATCAAGACCTAGCACTACATCTAGGTGGTGGCACCGTCTCCCAGGAGGGGTGGTGGAACCCCAGTGCGTTGGGCATTTACCGCGAGGCTGGACAAGGCCCTGCAGAATACACTGTAGGGAAGGAACGGGGATAGGGCTCCCAGGGGAATGGACTAGATCAGTGGTTTACAACCTGTGGACCATGGAGCCCTGGGGGTCCGCAGACTATGTCTAAGATTTCCAAAGGGGTCTGCACCTCCATTCGAAATTCTGTAGGGATCCGCAAATGACAAAAGGTTGAAAAGCCCCTGGACTAGAGGAGCCCGAGCTGGCCTTCTGCATCTCTAACTGGTCTGACCCTCCTGGCACTGGGCAGCCTGCAGCGCCGCCTGGTTCTCTGAAAAGCTCAGCGTGACGTTGGAAACGTCTGGCTGCCCCAGAACTATGGGCCTGGAGAGCCAACAGGACGTGCGTTTCTCACACAGACTCTGCGGGCCCATGCACGTGGGGGAGTCTGCGGGTAGCTGTCCACGCACATGTTCGCTGGGGGGGCACAGTTCTGAGGGCACCTTCACCACCACCCCCAGAATCCTGACTGGCCCAAGAGAAACGCTCCTACCATGGGGCTGGACCCCAGGGAGAGCTGCTCCGGCCTCAGCAAAGACAGCAGCTTCAGCAAAAGAACCGAGGTGCCGATTGCTGCACTCTTCTCCTGGGTGCTGCGCCCAGTAACCTGCCCCCGTATCATCACTGACCAGCAGTGGGGGAGTTCGGGGCCGCAGCAGGACACACAGCCCCCTCCCCCCTGCCTAGCTGTCTTTGCCAGGGCCCGATTCTGCCAGGCAATCACCCACAGCAGCCCTGTGAGGCGAGGCCAACCCTGAGCCCTCTCACCTGAGCTCACCTCTGCCCCACACACCCACTGAGGAGGCTGCTTGGAAACCAGCCATGTGACGCTTCCACCTTAGTCTCTGTGGCACCACAGCTCAGGCCCTGCACTTGGCACGGGGCGTCCTTACACGCGTGTGAAGTATTGATCCCTCCCCAGTGTTAGTATCACCAATATGGTGTGTATTGGGATCATGCCGGAGCCGGACACACGCGTAACAAAAGGAGGGTCCCTGTCCCACGGTAAAGTAGCTACACCACTACCTAGCTCTTTGCATGAGTAGATTTGAAATCATTACCCCCATTTTACAGATGGGGAAACTGAGGCATGCAGCAAGGACGTAACTTGCCCAGGGTCATCTAACAAGCCAGTGGCAGAGCCAGGAATAGAACCCAGATCTCCTGAGTCTCAAGCCAGGGTTCTAGCCAAGAGGCAGCAAACAGACCCAACAAAGACCAGGCAGGAGCCCCCAGGAAGAAGGAGATATTCCCATCAGTCTGACAAGCAGCTGACCCAGTCACCGCGGAGCACTCTGCAGGGAGGGTGAAAGAGGTGAGTTTTAAGGCAAGCTTGGCAGGAAGTCAGCGTGGCCCTGGACCAGCGATTGTAAGTAGGGCTGCGGTTACTCTTCTCTACGTGCGTGGCGATCTCACGGCATGAGACTAAATGACAGTAAACCCAGAACTAAAACAAGGGCAAGAAAGGAAAATGCCTGGAAATAACAGAGCACGGGCTGGCAAATGGAGCCCACAGAACTGCACGGTTGGTTTTCTGAGACCATGAGTGATTTATTCCAAAAGGGGGCAAGGGAATTTCCCATCTCCACCAGTCTGTCCTTTGGCTCGACATGTTCAGGAACCTCCCAGCCCGGGAGTGTATTTCTCTATGGTCGCGTTTGAAGACAGACAAAGACACACTATTTACCTACGTCTACAGCTTCATAATCTCTATTTTGCACAGAACACCAGGGCTGAATCCCAAACGTCTCTGTGCCAGGAAATGGGAGCGCAGCCCTGCATTTCTCATGCTCAAGTGCTGCGCGGATAACAGAGAGGCCGTTGGATGCCCTTCGGCATGAGCCTTTAGAAGGATCCATTTTACACTTCCTCTTCGAGGGTCCATGTATCAGACAACTGGCGTGTACCCTGAGGGACGCCCTAGGGCATGGAAGCGGGGTAGAATCATCCTTGCTAAGAAAGGGAGACGCTGTCCAGGGTGACTAAAACAAACAACTTTCATCGCCGCCTGCCCAGCTTCTGTCTGGGCAAACAAACAGCCACTTGCAAGGGGATACGCCGGAAGAGCCCCGGCTGCCCAGTTTCCATTTTAAGACGCTAGCTCTTCCCCTGAAATCACTGCTTTACGCACATCCTGGCTCAGAGGAGTTATTCCAGCAGGAAGGAGATGCTGGCAGCCAGGTGGACAGCAGCAGCATCCAGTCCCCTCCATTCTCTGCGACATCGCAGGCAGCCAAAGCCTTGTGCAAAAGCAACCCCGGGAATTCTACAGCCCAGCCCAAGGCTGCCCTGATTTTTTTAAACATGGAGGTGCAGTGGGCAGAGGCGACAGAACCCAGCATGCAGTGTTCCAGCAAAGGCACTCAGACCGCCATAGAACATTGCATGTTGGGACCTGTAGTCTCCGCAAGCCGCAGCGAGGTGCCTGCCATACAAGCCGGGTGCTGCCCTCACACGCTTGGGCGAGTTGCTCCGGCCAGCTGTAGGCTTTTCCTTTTGGCAGCATGTGTCATGTACTTCAAGCGGGTTTCACATTTTAAGCCTGTCTTTGCGAGATATAAAGTTACAGACCCCCCCCCCCCAAATGTTTTCGATTCGCACCTAGCTCCTGTGGCTGAACCCACAGGGACTCCACGCTTTCACCTCCAAAGCAGGAGTGCTAACCAGAAAGCAGCCCAAACGGCTTGGAAATCAGCCTTCCCGTTTCAGAATAACACGAGTTCTCACATGCACCCGTGTACAAAAACCTACCCAGAACAGCCCCAGTCTCCCGCCCCCCCGCCTTCCTGTTCGTGTGAGACAATCCTCCCCCCGAAGCATTATTTATTGCAAACAAACAATCCAGAAAACAAAAGCTAAAATGGACTCGACCGGGACATGGGAAAATCTTGGGCTTGGAGTTTTTCAAGGATTTTTATTGTTGCTGCACAAACAAAAGTCAGTCCCCTTTCTGGATGAACGGGGACGACACCAAGTGCAGATAAACCTATTCAGTTATTTTCTAAGGATCGGTTACCAAGTCTGGGAGGACAAAGACCGGATTCTTCTTTCCTGATGAATGACCAGAGTGGATACCATGAATGGGGGTGGGGAGTATTTCAATTACTTTTTAACTAAACTATTATTATTGGTGTATTAGGGATAGCCAGTGTCTGATGACACCATGCATTCCCCCCCCCCCCTTGAACTGGTTTTAACAGCAGAAAATGTGACTGGTTTTAAAACAATCACCTGGGCTTTCCCCCTGCTGTGTCTGGATATGTCACATGGATCTCCGATGGCCTTTTCTACCTGCCAACGTATGACCTTAGTACATTTATGATGGCAAGGCTAGGCACACTCTGATCAAGGCCTTAGTTTGAAGTTATTAGTCTAGAAGCCAGAACTGGGGGGTTTTCAATGATTATTGTTTGTATGGTTCTTGTCATTGCAGCTCTGATGAATGATACTCAAGCCATTTCCTGAGAGCACTATTGGCGCCAGCACTAACGACAGCTTCATCCAATGCTGGGCGTACACCCGTGTGAGGAGTTTGGCAGTTCTCAGTCTCCGACACGGCCCTCCCCCCTTGCGGAGGAGGTATACTGGAAGGAGAAGGTGCCCTAGGGATGCAGTGCTTTTCTCTCACTCATGGGTTTTCTGGAGAATGGGGCGGGGAGGGGAACACACAGACATCTTTCAGCTCAGCCTGTGAGGGGGGAGCCGTGGGAAAGAAAGCAGGTGTCCGGCTGCATAACACAACCAGATCCAGCCACTGGCTTCTGCTCTTTAATTGGACACCTGGTGCCTTGCAGAATAAAAGGGATGAACAGCAATTTGATCAACACCATCCGGCATCGCCCGCCCCCAACGCCCGCACCGGGGCCGCAGCCTCTCCCCGGGCACCTTCCACCAGTCAAAGAGCATCTCCTTGATGAATGCCCTTATTTTTAGTAGGAAGCTCACACCCCCCTCCCC